TCATGTTTCAGCTTCTTATAATAGGCTTGTTTGCATACCAAACACACACCAGCAGAAGGTTTAGGCTACAGGATCCTAATTGGTGTTGGACACTCAAGATTCTTCACTTCCAGCCCAACTGTGAAAAGGATGGTCATAACATATTTTCCAGAGAAAGAGCTCATAGAGCTTTTTTTATTTTTTATTTTACATATAATAACAATTTAGAAAAAATATTCACAACAACGTTAGACTGAACAATGCAAGACTGAAGAGTTGCGTGTCAAATTAGGAGGTCAGTAGCTCAGGAGCACCACAGGGTACTGTGCTCTCACCATTCCTTTTCACTCTGTACACCTCAGATTTCCAGTTCAAACCAGACTCCTGTCATCTGCAGAAATATTCTGATGACTCTGCAGTGGTCGGGTGTATCAGAGATACCATACAGATGGACAAGAAGCTGAGTACAGGGAACTGGTGGACCGCTTTGTGGCATGGTGTGGAAACATCTCATCTTGAATGTGAACAAAACAAAGAAGATGATTGTAGATTTCAGGAGAAACAGGAACAGGTCCAACCCTATTTCCATCATGGGAGAAGAAGTGAAGGTGGTGGAGAAGTATAAATACCTTGGAGTTCACCTGGACAACAGACTGGACTGGAAATGCAACAGTGAAGTGTCTACAAGAAGGGACAGAGCAGACTGTACTTCTTGAAGAACCTGAAGTCCTTCAACGTTTGCAGCAAGATGCTGCATATCTTCTACAAGTCTGTTGTAGAGAGCGCTGTCTCTTCTGCATCATCTGCTGGGGGAGCAGCACCAGAGCAAGTGACTTCAAAAAGATCAACAAGCTCATAAAGAAGGCTGGCTCAGTTCTGGGGACTCCTCGAGAACCTTTGGAGATGATTGTACAAAGAAGGATTCTTCATCAAATGAAGAACATTATAGACAACCCTCAGCATCCTCTTCATCAGACTGTCATACAACAACAGAGTGTCTTCAGTCAGAGGCTTCTTCAGATC